AACCCGAATTTTTTCAGCGGATCAATATTTCTGGCTGATCTGGAACTCGAAACTGAAGAAAACTAATTTCGATTTTATGAAAGTTCGACTGTTTTCAATTAAAATTATTATTTTAAAGTATAAACAAGCAAAATTCTTTAAAAAAAATAAATTTTTTAATACAAAATTTTAATTAATTTTTTTTGGGTGGGCGGTGACACGCCCATTTTTCTAAAATATATTTCTGATGGTATACATATTAATAATACAAAAACCGGATCAAAAAATCTGGCTTAGTTTTCAAGTTATTAATTAATACCCGATAATTTGGATTTTTCCCCATAGTGCACTGGTCGAAGTTTGCCAGCGAGCAGCAATAAAATAAATGGAAAACAATCTGTAATAAATTACACAGCATAAGCAGTCCCATCTTGAATAAAATATTGCGCTTTAATAAACATCAGTTGTCTCAGTTTTAATTGAAGCTGAGCCTCCAGTAGAGCCTAACTCAGCTCAAGCAGCTTATACCCATAGTCGACTCTTGTTATCATGAGATGGATCTCCGGCAGTTTGCTCTCGTAATTGGGCTTTGTTATCAAGTCGAGTGCGAGCTCGAGTTCGAATGTGAATGTGCAGGGAGCGCAGCTTAGGCTCTAAACTGTTTGATATTGCGACTGTCAAGCATAATTCTGATAAGCCCATGGAGCAGGCAGCTTCTAATTTGTGTGTAGCTGCAATAGTCAGACAAGAGTCATATTTGGCCAACGGCGGGCGGGGCACGGCAACAGGCAAACAAAAGAATAAGCAGAAAGAAAAACAAACAATAATGAAACAGAGCGAGAGTGAGAGAGGAGTTGGGTGGGGAGGACAAGGGGGGATGGCTGGCTGGCTGGCTGGCTGTGCAACCGATGCAGTGCAGCCACTTGAATGCATTTCAACAACGTTGTTCCCGGCTAATCCGCAAAGACAACCAAATCCGAGAGGCCCGCACAATATCCCGACACTTGGCTGGCTTTGTTGCATTGTTGTTGCATTGTTGTTTTTGCTGTTGCTGTTGTTGTTGTTTGCGTTGTAAATGAAAATGAAAATGAAAATGCGCCACTCCGATTCGGATTCGGATTTAATATTACACAAAAGCCATACAGGGAACAAAGCGCATTTGAGAAGCGCCGAGCACCGAGCGCCGAGCTCTGAGTGCTAAGAGCGTTGGGCTTTTTGATGAATGCCAATTGTGAAAAGCTGTTGAAAGACAATCGCCATAATTGGTTAGAATGATTTTGTATTTTGTTGGCTTGTAGTTTTGTAGTTTTTCAGCAGCTATTTGAATAGTTGAATAATTGCAAAGTCAGCGCTCGAAATTCGAAAAGCAATTTATATTCCCCCGCGAGCTCTGCGCCCTCCGTGTGACACGACGAGCGGGCAAATTGAAAGCCAAATGTCAAAGGAAAAGGAAAAGTGCCAGCCGAACTTTGTCCCCATCAGGGTTAATTAACAAATGAATTCCACTTATTGCCATTATGAGTTGCCCATTCAGCTCACTTTTTTATGAGCTGCCGGTGCGACAGCTTTCAATTGGATTGAAGTTCGATTTCTATTTTTTCGCTGGCCCAATTAGCTGAGAGCTGAAAGCTGAGAACTGAGAACTGAGCGCTGAGAGCTGCGTTGGCTGCTCCATTCACTTCGGATATCCAACTTACCGTGACGCGCCTCCTCGCCCTCGGGTGCATGCTGTGTGATTGTATTGAGCTCCTCCTCCAGGTCGACATGACAATCGGATACGTCCCAGGACAGGAAACCTGCATGTGACAAAAGAAATAGAAAAGAAATCAGGTGATAAGTCGCGTACCAAAGCATCACAAAAGGCATAGAAATGAAGCGAATTCAATTCAATTGAATTGAATCCATTTATGTTAAGCTACGTGTGATGGCAATATTACCATTAAGCTAAGAGATGTATTAAAAGCAGTTAGTCTATAAATATATATATATGGTTTATTTTTTAGCTCAGTTTCTTAAGCTTTTATGGCTTTAGAATTATAATAAATACAATTGGTAAAATATATCTTTAATAGCTTAATTTATCATAAGTCTGCAGGCTGCTAAACCAAGATTAAAGCTTTATCCCATCAAATTATTATTCGCTCGATTCACTGAGAACGAAGAGTCAGACTTTGGTTTTTTGTTGAATGTAAAAAAAAAGGCGTGCTCTATCCCTTAAAGTATATGCATATATTCTTGATCCCTTAGAGTATATACATACATATATTCTTGATCAGGATAACGAACTGAGTCGATTAAGCACTGCCCTGTCTGCTCGTCCGTCTATCTGTTCGTTCATCCGTCCGTAACTTTCAAGCAATCCCTAGGCTATTACAAATATTTACTTCCGCAATTCGAGCTAATCATTATTTTTTCGATAAAAATCGATAATTTTACTAAATTTGTATACATAGCTTGATAGCTAATGCCATAATCTGGATTTCATGATATGATTAAGACAGTCTAAGCAAGAGCATGATTTGTTCCTACAGTAAAGCCCAGATTATGTGTGAAAAAAAAAGAATTTCTTTGAAGAGTTTTGGGTATCTCATAGTTGGGCAGTCCCCGTTCTTTCTTCTTTGATTGCGATTTTCTCGTAATGTCCTCAGCTAATTATTACCTGGCACAATTCGAGTTTGACTAGCTCAGAATTTATAGCCCTATTTCAGCTATTGGCCTGGAAATAAATAGCTCAGAGCTCATTAGACATAAACAGGGCACATTTCATTGGCTTATCCCAGTTGGTACGCTGCCTGAATATCAATGCTAATTGCTCAACATCTTCTTCCTCTTCTTCACTCTTAATGAGAGCTAATAATGCTGGGCATGTCGTATCGTATTCGGCAATTACGTATTGCTTGTCTAAAGTGCATCCGCACTAAATGTTGACCAGCTGCCATAACGATGCTTGGCTCATTTATCAAAATATATACACACACTTATTATATAATTGTGTGTGTGTGTGTGTGTAGTTGATAAATTTTTCATTAATTTTATAATTACAGAATGTGTCATGAGACGTTGTTATTCAGTAACTTTTTGCTTTTGCCATTTTGATAAATGGCCAACATGAGACAACAAAAACGCAGAAGTTGCGACTCTTCCTTCGCGTTACGTATACGTCATATGGTACACATCACACATACACACGCACACAGAGTCAGCAATGCCTTAGTTTTTGCGTTTTGTGCTTCCCCTGTCTTTGATATTTAGTTGGCCCGCATAGAATTGCTTTATATATATTTCTATATATAGCCGAGCTATGTATGTGCCAGTGCCAATGCCAGTTGGCCTCTTTGGGTATTATGTCATTTAGTAAACAAATTAAGTCAGCCTTCACCCACTGGGTGTGTGTATGCGTATATATGTGTGTGTGTACATTGTACTTCAGTGTAAGTATTTGCAAATACACATACCAAAATAGTTGGCTCTTCAACCAGAAACAAAAAATGAAAAGTGCATCATTAGCATTTCCTTTTCGGTGTACCACAAACTATTTGCCTGGCATTTTTGCTTCTTTTTTTTTTTTTTTTTTTTTGTTATATCAGATTTTCATATACACGCAATATATACGACTTTCAACATTTCAGAACCAGAATTAAAAAATGTTATGCTTTAAGTAGCCGAAATTTTAGATGCAAATTGTCGCAATTTGCACAGCTTTTTTCTTTTTTTTTTTTTTTTGTTTTTTTTTTTGCGAATAGCTAACAGCAAAATGAAATGAATTTCAAATAACTATTAAATGTTTGCCTGCACTTGGATGTAGCTACAGTTGTAGCCTGTAGCTGCTTTAAGAGCTCTGCACTCCACTCTAATTGCTAAATGTTCGCCTTTTCTTCCTCATGCCTTCGTTTCATTCTGCTTGTTTCGCTTCGCAACCTATTCAAATATGAGAAAGTGAGAAAGCAAGAGCGGAGAGTCTGTGGAGTCCCATTTTGTAGCTTGGGGACGGCCAGGCAGCTGGAATTTAATGAGCGGCAGACACGAGTTCTTTTCGTGCACACTGCAATGAATAACTTATTATAATGATGCCTTAATGAGCGCTTAACTTTCATTTTTGATGCCGGCTGGCCCGCAGACATTAATGTGCATAAAGCCGACGCAAATGAAGCTGTCAACTCGAGTCAAGTGTCGGCCGGCGCGGACCACAGCAATCGACTGAGTCAGAGGCCACAAAACTGATATTCTGTCAAGTCGATCGACGAAAGTCCATGTTAAAGCTGCTGTTCAATTTCACCCTGACTGCTAGGAAATACATACATGTATGTGTAACTGATTCCATCTAGCAGAAAGTCTCTCTTCCTGTCCCTAACATTTAATCTCTATCTCGCTCACTATCTATCTCTCTATTTATCTCTCTCGATCTCCCTCTATAGTCAAGTTTTTATCTAGGCTTTAAGTCTCTCATTCTGTTCCTCATTCCTTATCTTTCTCTCTATTCTTCTCTATACAATTGCCAACTATAAATAAGAGTTTTTGTTTTCTCACTGCCTCAAATCAGTCAGCTCCCAAGCAATGCAAAACTCAATGCTAAAGCTACTGTTAAACTTATGACAGCTGCTTTCAATTTGCCGCTGACTGCCAGAAATGATACTCCAGTTTGACATATTTGCATTCACTATATTCTAAAATGCCATAAATTGCTGCTATCTTTAACTGTCCCCTCTCTCTCTCTCTTTCTTTGTCTCCTTCTCTCTCTCTCTATCATCTCTCAATTCGAAAGTCCATGTTAAAGCTGCTGTTCAATTTGATACTGATTGCTTCTGTTTGACTGATTCCTTCTAATTAGTATTATACAACGAGGTGCTAAATGGTAACAAATTGTCAACAATTTCTCTTCTCCCTCTCTCTCTCTCTCTCTCATTCTCTTCCTTTATCCAATTGTTAACTAAAAACAAATTGTTTTCCAAGTGTTTCCAATCATCGCATTCGATTTGCCATGTCCTTTTGGGTGCTCTAAGCCCCGTTTGTCTGCTGCCATAGTGGCATGACTAGTAGCCAGCTACTGCTACTGCTGCTGCTGCTGCTGCTGCTGCTGCTTCTTCTTTCTCTTAGCTGCACACTGTTGAGCAATTTGCACAAATGGCTGGCAGCAGCAACAAAAGGCAATGGCACAAAACGAACAAATTCAAAGCGAAGAAGAGCAAAAAAATAATGAAATGCGCAAAAAACAACAACAAGTTGAGCATGCGGCATAAAAATGTAAAATCTTAACACTTTTCACACACACACACACATACACACACATGAGTCGGATCAGTATATTGTGCGGGCAAACAAAAAAAGCTGCACAACAATAGGGATAAAGATGGAAGGGTCGTGGGAAAGGCAGCGCCCAAAGCGCCTACAGCGATTGCACAAAAATAATGAGGAAACGCGCAGGATGTACACACACACACACACATACACACGCATGTATATGTGTATATATATATATAGAGCTGTGTTGGACGCTCTCTTGAGCAATCATCGGGCGAATGAAGCCACTCAGACGCTGGGAACAGCGCACAGAAACGTACCTCGCCGTCTGGAGCTGAGTCTGAGGCTAGGTGGCGCCACTGTGCCSTGCTTTGTGTGTATGGGTGTGTGATTGTTCGCACACTCATTTAGTATTTATGCGTTGATATCTGCGAGTGAGTCTTCAATTTTTCATGTGCACGCCCCTGTATGTGTGTGTGCGTGTGTGTGTGTGTGTATGTGTGTGTCTGTGTCTGTGTGAAGCTGGCACTCATTTATTTATATAATTTCTTGCTCAGCTTCGCTTCAATGTCAAGTGTTTAATTTGTAACCTTTGCATTTCGTGTGCGCGCCTTTGTTTTATTACTGAATTACGCAACGAGCTCAGTGAAATGAACAATCAAATACTCCAGCCAGGCTAATATTGTTAATTATAATTAAGATCTAGTCATTCTCTAGGGGCTCGATGTCTGCGTGCCGTCCTCACGGTCCTCAAGGTGAAACAGCTGTAGATATTTGTGTAATAGAGATTTATGATGATGCCAGATGGTAGACAAGTACCAGAGTCGGCCGTATTCATTTGAGCCTGAGCTGTGGCTTCTGCACTTGGTTTGGCAATATTAATGAGAGCCAGAGCTCGGCTAGATGGGCAATTCAATTCAGCTATAATCAATTTGAGGTTGGCTTGGCCAACACTCATAATAGATGGGCTCAGCTGCCAAGCCGAAATAGGTATATTAAGTTTACAT